GTCTGTTAGAGTGTGTCTGTTAGAGTGTGTGTGTGTGTGCCTGTTAGTGAAAGTGTGTGTGTGTGTGTGTGTGTGTGTGTGTGTCTGTTAGTGTGTGTGTGTGTGTGTGTGTGTGTCTGTCACTGAGAGTATATATGTGTTTGTCAGTGAGTGTGTATATGTCCCTTTGTCATTTAGAGTGCATATGTGTTTGTCAGTGAGTGTGTATGTATGTGTGTCTATCAGTGTGTGTATCCGTGTCTGTCACTGAGAATGTGTGTCTGTCAGTGAATGTGTCTGACAATGTATATATGCCTGTCAATGAGTTTGTATGTGTGTTTGTCAGCGTTTATCTGTCACTGAGTATATGTGTGTTTGTGTGTGTATGAGACACTGAGTGAGTGTGCGTCTGTCAGTGAGTGTATATGTGTGTCTGTCAGTGAATGTGAATGTGTGTGTAACTGTGAATGAGTGAGTGTGTCTGTGAATGTGTATGTTTCAGTGAAAGTGTATGTTGGTTAAACAGTGTGTGTGTGACAATGACTGTGTATCTGTAAGTGAGTGTATGTCATTGCATGCATCAGTGAGGGCGTGTGTCTGTCAGGAACATAAATTTGGAAGGGGGGGTACCTAAGTTTTGTCATGCCTAGGGCAGCACAAAACCAGAATACATCACTGCATGCCACCCATTGAGCATGTTTGGGATGCTCTGGATCAGCATATATAACAGCGTGTTCCAGGTCCTGCCAATATCCAGCAACTTCGCACAGCCATTGAAGAGGAGTGGACAACATTCCACAGGCAACAATCAACAACCTATTCAACTCTATGCAAAGGAGATGTGTTGCACTGCGTTAGGCAAATGGTGGTCACACAAGATACTGACTGGTTTTCGGACCCCACCGGACTCCCCCAGTACAGAAAAACTGTACATTTTAGAGAGGCCTATTATTGTGGCCAGCCTAAGGCACACCTGTGCAATAATCATGCTGTCTAAACAGCATCTTGATATGCCACACCTGTGAGGTGGATGGATTATCTTGTCAAGGATTATCAAGGAGAAATGCTCACTAACACAGATTTAGACAGATTTGTGAACATTATTTGAGAGAAATAGGCCTTTTCTATACATAGAAAAAGTCTTAGATCTTTGAGTTCAGCTGTTATAGTTAATACATTGCTAAACACAAATACACACACCAGTCAAGCCATAAGACTTGCTTTTCCCACAGAAATCTTATTTTAACAGTGCTCTCAGTACTGCAAGGGATTCTGGGAAGGCATATGCAAATGAGCTCAACAAAGAACTACAATTTTGCCTCAATTCCACTTTATACATGGATTTCTTGCAGTATGTGTTTGCTGTATACAACAGCTTTGAAACACAACTATATATATATATATATATATATATATATATATAGTTTGTATATATTGTGTATTTATATATACACACTGCATCCTCTACACAAATGCACTGCATCCACTTGACATGCACGAACAGACACTGTGTCCACTTTACACACACTGCATCCACAATACACACACCGTGTGTCCACTCTACACACACTGCATCCTTATGGGCGAGCTTGGAGACCCAGATCTTGAGCTGTGGGTAGGGGCCTCTGATGGCAGCCCTGTAGCTTGCCTCAGCACAATGTATTCTGCCCCATCACACACAGGCTTACTCAAGGCGTTTCTACCTTCTCACGTTCAGAAACTGCTGGGCATGTCCAAAGGTCCATTATTCGTAAACTAAGCTTAATATTTGTTAAAAACAGTATATTGGGATAGAAAGTGTTCTCCTGTTGAAATTAAGGCTGCCTATTTACTTTGTCCTTACCTGTTTTCTCCACTATCATATGAGGATTGTTTGTATGAGAAGAATTTAATTCAGAGAAGTATTTATCTTGTCTTATAGCAACCTCTTAGAAAAGGATTTACTCAGGTATTGACAGACAGTATGTTCCCTCTGTGCTGGAGATCATATATTACAAAATTAAGAATGATTGGAAATATTCCATAAAAAAGATTTTTATTAACATTGTGATTGCTGTAATGTTCTGAATTAGAGTTGGAAAACATTTAGTTTAAACTCTGTAAACCACTTCCTGTCTAAGACTTCTAAAGATTCGTTTGCAAAAGTGTAACATTACTAACATGCATTTACACTGTGTTATCAGAAGTTTCAGCAATAAACTAAAAAACAAATATTGTCCCCAATACGTGTTGCTGAAAAAAACACATAGGGAGAGTTTTTTGGGTTTTTTTTAATTTAATTTTATTCCATTATTATTAGCATTTATGAGTAGTGTTGTAAAAATTCCACTAGGATGAGCATATTAGAAAGTCTATAAAAACAGTTCAGTTTCCACGAACTATATGTAAGCAGACATCAGCTGAGATTTCCACTCTTTGCGGTAGTCTGTGCTGTGTCCAGTACATTTAGAAGGTTGAGGTTTGGAGATATTTGTGCTATATTCACTTACTGAGTAATGCAAATTTTTGTTTCAGTATTACACAACAGGACAGGAAAGGGAAGTGTAAGTTTCTGTGATCACATTTATTTTCTTTAGCCAGACTGACAATGTTGGGGTAGTTTCAAAACATCTGGAGTTGCACAAGTACACCTATTGCAGCAATTCAATATACTGTATAATGTAGGCCTGCTTCCTAATCATTTATCACATCTGTCTGGAGCCATCATGAAGTAAACACTGGTTTATTGGAGGGGGTTATTTTGCTCTAGATCCTGTACCTTCACAGATGTGCAGGAGAAAGATCTAAAAGATGGAACTAGATGTTAACCCAACCTCTTTGTCTGGAACCTGCAGATAGTACTAGAATTAGTCAGAAGCCATGGCAGCTACCCACAAGCTCAGGGTAGGCTGTGAATAATCCCAAACTGGAAACATAGTATACAGGAATTTATATTTTAACATTTTCCCATTGTATTAATCAAATCTCAGGTGACAAAATGTTGGGGTGGGAGGTTTGGTGTAAATAGTTGTTAGTGGCTCCCACAGAAAATTACGGGAGCTGTCAGTCAGTACTTAGTAACTGGCTTTAAGTAGCAGCTCCCGGTAACGCCTTTTCATTACGGTTATCATTTTATAGCTATTATCCAGCCGCTGGTCTCTAAGAGTAGCGCCAGTCATTGTTTTAGCAGCAGAACGTTTTTCAATTCACTGCATTTACCCACTTGAAGAGAGACCATGAATGACATTGGGTCAGCAGAGAAGAGCTTCTAAAATATGGTTTCATATTTCCCAAGAAAGGATATTTTTTCTCAACTATTCCTATAGACCTCCACTGATCAATAATTTAGATGAAGCCCCGCAGATGTGCTTTAAATTGGAACCATCCAGTGTAGAAAGTATATCTTGCTCCCATGGTCGTGTGTACAATAGGGATTCCCACTCAGAAGTGCTAGAGCATAACCATTGATATAAGGAGGAGGCAAGGGATTCAAGAGATAACATTGTAAACCATGAAGCATTCTCACAGTATAACATTTGAAAGCATGTTCATATTGTGGAAAAAACTCTTACAGTGCACTCATACAGACCACAACATTAAAACAACTGAAAAGTGAATAATGTTGTAATAGGTTCTCTACTTATGACTTCTTCTTTAGCAGAAAACATTATAGAGAACATTTCCAAATAATGAAAACTTGAATTGCAGGAATCATGACTTTGTTGTTTTAATCACATGTTTGAAAACATATGTAATTGTCATCAGCATTCCTTTGATGTAGGTTGAGATATGGATGTTGGAGGCTTTAAATTTAGCATTGGCTTTGTGTATATTGGATATTTAGGCCGTTTTGTATATGTATCAGTGGTCGATTAATTTATTTACTAAATAATGTTGTGGATGAGAGTTCCTAATTTTTAATTTTTTTATCTTATTACCAATGTAATATGAAATGACAGCGCCAGTACGTTACTTCTGCAATTAGTGTTGAATAAAGGAACATTCCAAACACCATAAACAAAACTGTTATTTATTAATTCTGGGTTCTAACATTTTTAGTGTTTTGTATATTTTTGGGTTTTATCATCATTTTTCTTTTATTCCAAATGGATATTTTATATGTGTATACTGTAAGATATTTTAGAAAATTTTTGTTCTATCCTTTTATTATTAAAACATATTTTGGGGTGGGACCGGGCCCCCGAGCACAGCGGTCGCAGTGAAGCTCAGCTCCTGCTAACAACGACCCTATAATGCCTATAAAACACAGTCTTAATCACCTATTGTGCCAAAAACTGTGACCTTAGATGGATAAGGGCTACCGGAACTGGGGAGAGGCTTGCTCACTGAGTTTTAGTCCCTCGGAGGGAGTTCTCTGCAGCAACAAGCGGGAACCTTCCTGGCGGTGAGTGGAGTGGACGGCCGCTGCTCCACTATCCCGCCTAACGGAGCCCGACAGACAAACTATATCTGTGCGGACCCAGTTCCGGTCCCACCCCTCTGGGCCGGGGGGTTTCCTGCTCCCCACCCCACAGCTGCTCCCGGAGGCCATGACATACCAGGCAGCAATGAAGGCCCGAAGCCCAAAGCTAAGATGGCGGCGGTCACAGGTGAAGAGCCTACTTACAGAGCCCAGAACAGCCCGCTGATCTCATGCCAGGAGCCCAGCAACGAGTAAGCAATGCAGGGCCCCAAGGGGACACCTACCCTCAGAGGCAGACAGGGGAAGGGGGGGAGACGCAGGGCAAATGGCGGCACAATGGATACCGCTACTGGCGCCATACACCGCACCACCTACCCTCTGATAGAGCCGAAAGGCTGGAGCCCCTGTCACTGCACTGAGTCCCCCTCCAACCTACCAAATAGCGAGTCCTGCCCAGCAACAGCCCAAAAAGTGACAAACCACGACCGTGGATACGCAGCAAGACAGAGAAGACCCCCACGGAAGGCGCACAACAAGCTCCAGCTCAAGGGGACACTGAGTGGACAATCCTCACTTAAATGAGCTACTACCACCGCAAAACAGATTAAGTAAAGACAGCACATTGCCTGAGTACCAACCTCACAGAATATACACATGTGGTGGCAGCATACCGGCACACTTATCAAGACTACCCCATGCCCAGCTGAGGCCGCGAGGCCGTAAGTGCCGACACCAACTGTCAGGAGCCGGCTCAGAGACTCTCAGGGACGCTAACTACATCTTATTTACAACAGTATTTATGTCCCCCTTATAATGTTGTGGTCACTGAGAACTTGAAATCCGAAATTGCCTTCTTTTATGTTTTTCTGGCCACCGATGATTTCTAACATACCCCCAAGCAGCAGGCACAGTTACCCACTTACACACAGACTGAGGGGATCCGCTCGCACTAAACACTCACACGAGGTCCGCACAGGCACACAATACAGCACAATACTCGACCACTTAACGCTATAAACACTCAGGGGCTCCTGTGTCTGATGGCTCAGGGTGACTGACACAAAGTGCAGACACCCTCTCCAACTATAACACTCCTGCATAAGTGGGGCATCGGCTGAGACTGCTGTACCATCAAGACATTAGCCCTCTACCATGAGGTGCAGGCAGGTCGGATGACTAGCGAATAAGCCTTACACACTCACACATTGGGACTCTCTACAGCAGTTAATGTTTACCTGGTTATGCCTAGTAGGTACATCTAACATGCCTCAGTGCTCCATCTTACAATGTGGTATATGAATTGGTTGCAAGCATGTTGTAATTTGTCTATGCAATCACCATGTCTACTATATTCTCCATGACTAAAATCCTCTCTAGGTTGAAGGCTGAGACATGCCCGCCAAGCCTGAATAACACTGTTCAGTCCTACACCTACAATTACTGTTAATTTATTTAGCACGTAATTTAAGCATGAACCTCAACGCATACTAATGTCACAAACGATAAGAAAAGCCTGTACCCTATAATCCTGACGAGATAATGATAACCTTGTGCACCATCTCTCATGTGCCCAAATAGCAATCCGGATGCACATATTTAGCGTGTAATGTTTCTCTTCTTTTACTAACTAAACGGATCTAAAGCATAGCATTACCATAATTTCTAATTGTCTGTACCAAAAGAATCGTTCTTTTATACCTTCTTAAAAAATGTGTAAATGTCATGCATGCTACCTCTATGTCAAGACATGTAACTGTTAATTATTATTATTATTATTATTATCATTTATATAGCGCCAACAGATTCCGTAGCGCTTTACAATATTTTGAGATGGGGGATGTAACAATAAATAGGACAATTACAAGAAAACTTACAGGAACAATAGGTTGAAGAGGACCCTGCTCAAACGAGCTTACAGACTATAGGATATGCTGGTCTGTGCTATTGTGGCATAATCAGCTTGCCTGTTACTTGATTTTTACACAACAAAAATAAAGAATTTAAAAAAACCAAAAAACATGTTTTTCCTCTTCATTTTTATTTGGCTATGCATTTTTTTTTCCTTTTACACAATTGGCAGTATATGCCCAAATTCTATGTATCAAATATTCCCATACACATAATTGTAACTTTGTTTTATTTCCACTTTTCCCTATTACCAATATCCATTTCATTATTTACTTGGACGCTGCAACATGTTGGAGCTATTTATCATTTGAACTGATAATATGCCCGCCTCCATCACCTAATAGGAGTTCTCCTAAGATGGCCAAGAACTTGGATTTAGAATCATGCGGGAACCGATAATATGGCCGCCTCCATCACCTAATAGGAGTTCTCCAAAGATAACCATTGCTTTACATTCATCCCATTGGTTTCTCTTCAAAACCCAAGGACAGGATTGGAGATTCACCAAATCAAGCAATGCGATTGGACATTATCTAAGCCAAATGCTGATTGAAGATTTGCCAAAACTGAATGCTGATTGGAGATTCGTCAAAACTCAATGAAAGTAGACTTCTCAAAGAAATGTTGGCAGGGTATTTAAGGGGATTTGTTTCTTTCATTCATTGATACGTATTGTGGTGAAGACTAAGGTCAAAAAGTGCTGTACTTGTGTGGATGATTTTAACCATACATGTAAGATTTTATATATTTTTTAATAAATTTGCTATACTTCACTTTAACTGCGTAGTCTGCGTCCCACCTGATAACCTATATTGGAATATTGAGGAAAATTCAGAAGACCCTTATGGATGGGAATAGTGATCATTTCCACAAATGAATTGCTAATTGAGATATTGCCAGCCACCTACTAGCAAATAAAGCTGGTATTGTTGGCACCCTAAATAGTGATTGTAACCAATATACATGTGAACACTTACATTTGTAAAAAGACAGTACACTATGAGATGTTTTCTCCTTTACACTACACTCAACTTACCTATAACAAGAAATGGTAATTCTATTATATATGGTTTCCTTTTGTGTGCACTTTCACTTTCTTTAGTATTGTTGTATTTATATGTATTATTGTGAATTTCCAATGATTGATTCATAGATGATATAGCTGTACCACTTTTATATTTACCGCCATTTCACTATCCTCTTTTATTGATTGTGTACAAGTGATGCATAAGAAACCTAACTTTAGATCTGACAGTAAGGAAAGACCTGGGAGACATTTCAAAACTGAATTCTATTTGGTTTATGAACCCTCTACATGTTTTATGATCGCCTCCCTATCTATTAGGTGGGGTAAGGTTGGTGGACATATTGTTGTGACTGGAAGCTTCCAATACAACTGGCACTGTCTAGAGTTGCAAGGTTGCAAGGTTGTCAGGCGAAAGATGCACTGTTCTAGTTAACAATGTGTAGAATGTCTGAGCAAATCGATCCATCTTATGATCTAATTCCGCAAACTTTAACTTACAAAAGTCCATGGCCCCATCGTAAAGTCACAGAGTTATTACCCTAACTTACAGGATATGGGAAAATCGGCAAATAGAGGGTCAATAGAGGGTATTACTGGGCCTTAGAGTTGCCAGTCTTTACGTTATATAAAGATAACATCATCTTTTTCGCCCCCCTCAATCATCTCTTTTTTGGGCACCAAGGGCAGAATTCAGAGTCACAAAACAAATAGAACATGCTTGCTTGGCTATTGTGCGTTTTGTTTGGTTTCGTGATTCAGATAAATTTTGGCTTGGAGTTTGAGAATTTGAGCAATCACTGATTTGGCCCAAATTAAGAAGATTTGCAAGAATTCTTTATGACACAAATTTTAATGTTTAATCTAAACTAGTTTCTCTGTTGGCTTAAAAAAATATTTTACACATATATCGTGTAGCCACCTGTGACGGCTACCACAGCATAAATATTTAATAGCTGCATATTATCAGCATACATATTTTAACAACTGGCTATGAGGATTATGAATATTTAAACATTAACGTTATTGTCAACAGCAAAAACAGATGTGAGAAAGGCTGAGCTTGGATGTATGTCTCTTTTTAGCTATGAAACTATGTAACATAATTTGAATGAGTGGTAGTTATTCCTATAATGATCATTTTTAAACTGCACACAATTATTACCTACCGTCCTCTTACAAATGTTTGATCGATTATCTTTTTACAGATGATGATCGTCTGCAATAAGCAAAGCCTGATTTCCAAACTACCAAGCCCCAATACTGCTGTAAGAAAGTCACTGCTCCATCAGCTGATCATCTGAAATAAGCAACGGTAGCCTTCTGCAAGACCACACTAAGACTCTATCCTGCACAGCATCATTTATATTTAAGTTAACCACCCTGTACATTTATTTTATTTTATATATCCTGTGTGCATTGTATATTTTCTTGCCTTTATATCTTGTCTGTCATGCTAAAGTGTAGCTTTGCTAGTCCTGTATGTAATTGTTTTTCTCACCTATATGCATTCCTCTATTTCCCCTCTGATTTCTGACTGACCTCTGACCCCTCCCTTCTTTTATTGATATGTTTTTATTTGAATAGCCATTTCTTCATCTCTGTGCCTAGATACATATCCCCCTCCCTCAGCTTTATTGCAAGCCTATCTGACCCTCACATATCTTTATTCAACAGCCTGATTTCCAAACTACCAAGCCCCAATACTGCTGTAAGAAAGTCACTGCTCCATCAGCTGATCATCTGAAATAAGCAACGGTAGCCTTCTGGAAGACCACACTAAGACTCTATCCTGCACAGCATCATTTATATTTAATTTAACCACCCTGTACATTTATTTTATTTTATATATCCTGTGTGCATTGTATATTTTCTTGCCTTTATATCTTGTCTGTCATGCTGAAGTGTAGCTTTGCTAGTCCTGTATGTAATTGTTTTTCTCACCTATATGCATTCCTCTATTTCCCCTCTGATTTCTGACTGACATCTGACCCCTCCCTTTTTTATTGATATGTTTTTATTTGAATGGCCATTTCTTCATCTCTGTGCCTAGATACATATCCCCCTCCCTCAGCTTTATTGCAAGCCTATCTGACCCTCACATATCTTTATTCAACAGCCTGATTTCAAAACTACCAAGCCCCAATACTGCTGTAAGAAAGTCTGATAGCTGCCCTAACCACCCCACCCCACCCCATGCTCATTATTACATTTATAGATTGTCTGTCGCACCCAAATTTTAGATAAGTAAAAATAACTGCATCTTATTAGTACACTCCTGCATTTTCCTAACCCATAAAACTTCATATTTACCCTACCTTCCCCTGCTCTTGATATTCCAATTATTTCCGATTTACTTTTTCCAAGTTTTGCAATGATCTGTCTTCTCCTTCTCTTTATTTCCTCCTTCTCCCTCAGTATAAAAATCTCTCCTTACACCCACTTCACGCATCCCCCCATCAACATTTACATATGCCCCTCTCTGCTACAATTCCCCCCTTCTCTCATCTCAGGTCTTGCACTCATTTTTCTACTCTCTGACTCCTACCCAAAATCGATCTCATCCTAGACCCCATGCATACAAAACCCATTCACACCTCCTAGCACTTGCTTCTAGCAGCTGGTGATGTTTCTCCCAATCCAGGGCCCTTCACCTTCTCTACACACACTAAGAAAACCAGTGTGCACTCTGGAACACCCGCTCCGTCTGCAGTAATTTAAAATCAACAGCCATGCAAGACTTTTTCATCTCAAACTCACTCACACTACTTGCACTTGAAGAGACTTGGCTGTCCCCCTCTGATAGCGCTACTCCTGCCTTGTTATGTTTTGGTGGGCTGCAATTCTCTAACACTCCCAGACTCAACTGTAAAGGAGGTGGTGTAGGCATCCTTCTCTCCTCTCAATGTACCTTTCAACCAATCATAACTTCCCCTGCCCTATCCTTTTTTTCTTTTGAAGTTCACACTGTCCACCTATTTAAACCCACTCCTTTAAGAATTGCTATCATCTTCCCCCTCGCCCCCCAATCATCCTTGGTTATTCATTGATCACTTTTCTTCCTGGCTTCCCCACTTCCTCTCATCTAGCACTCCTTCCATTATACTTGGGGATTTCAATATTCCAATCAACAACCCCAACTGTACTGATGCCTCTCGTCTGCTCTCTGTAACCTCCTCCTTTGGCCTTACACAATGGTCCAATTTAGCAACCCATGCAGCAGGAAACACTCTTGATCTCGCCTTCACCAATCTCTGTACCGCCTCTAATCTCTCCAATATTCCTTTTCCTCTATCTGACCATCATCTGCTGACTTTTGACATTGGCATACCTAAGACCCAACTGACACCACCCTCTGAACATCAATCTCATAGAAACCTCCAATGTCTTGACCTAGAGCCAGGGCCGGACTGGGAAAAAAATTAGGCCCGGGCATTTTTCAATCAGAGCGGCCCCCTAAGAAGGGGGCGGGGCCAGAGAGTGTGTGTTTTGTCATCACTAATGACAAGCATGCCCCCTCTCAAAGTGAGCATGTTGGTTCAATG